TATAAAGTTTGTGGATGATACCAAGCTGGGAGGGGTTGCAAGCGCTTTGGAGGATAGGATTAAAATTCAAATTGATCTGGACAAACTGGAGAAATGGTCTGAAGTAAATAGGATGAAATTCAATAAGGACAAATGCAAAGTACTCCACTTAGGAAGGAACAATCAGTTGCACACATACAAAATGGGAAATGACTACCTAGGAAGGAGTACTGCGGAAAGGGATCTGGGAGTCATAGTGGACCACAGGCTAAACATGAGTGAACAGTGTAACACTGTTGCAAAAAAAGCAAGCATCATTCTGGGATGTATTAGCGGGAGGGTTGTAAGCAAGATGCGAGAAATAATTCTTCCACTCTACTCTGGGCTGATTAGGCCTCAACTGGAGTATTGTGTCCAGTTCTGGGCGCCACATTTCAGGAAAGATGTGGACAAAGTCCAGAGAAGAGCAACAAAAATGATTAAAGGTCTAGAAAACATGACCTATGAGGGAAGATTGAAAAAATTGGGTTGGTTTAGTCTGGAAATGAGAAGACTGAGAGGGGACATAAGTTTTCAAGTACATAAAAGGTTGTTACCAGGAGGGGGGAGAAAAATTGTTCTTCTTAACCTCTGAGGATAGGACAAGAAGCAATGGGCTTAAATTGCAGCAAGGGCGGTTTAGGTTGGACATTAGGAAAAACTTCCTAATTGTCAGTGTGGTTAAGCACTGGACTAAATTGCCTAGGGAGGTTGTGGAATCTCCATCATTGGGGATTTTTAAGAGCAGGTTAGACAAACACCTGTCAGGGATGGTAGATAATACTTAGTCCTGCCATGAGTGCAGGGGACTAGACTAGATGACCTCTGGAGGTCCCTTCCAGTCCTATGATTCTATGGTATTAAGGTGAGCACCATGAATGGGAGATGTTATGTTTTAATTGGGATTTAAAATGAAGGTCTTGAACATTTGCAGTCATTAAAGGTCACTAGTGGCTTTCACAAGAATAGAGTTATTAATTCTGGTTTCCTGGCCAATGTTGGTAATTGCAGCTAGAAAAACCATGCTTTATCTCCAGTACCAACATGAGGTTTTATTTTAAACCCACTGTGCTGTTTGTTAATATTTTGTTGAGCATTCTTAAGCAGATTAATGAAAAGAATGTTGAAGGCTGAAAGGAACTTTCCATCATTTCTGGTCAATTCCATTGTAACCATAATTGAAACCCTCTTCAGAATTGTGAGGCTCTTCTAATTTTCCTTCATAACCCTTCCCTCCTCTTCAATGTGGCAGACATTCAGTCCTCTTTCTCTGCAGGCAAACTCTCCTCAAGGGCGTGAGGCTCAAAGAATGTACAAAATCAAGCCCTATTACTTGGTGTGATGGGGTTGCTCCATTCACCATTGGATGGCACCGCCTTCTGGCGGTCCTAGGGATTAGCTTGGTGAGGCTGACGCTTCTTCCAGCTGTCATTACACCCGTCCAGTTTCTCCTCTGCTGCCCCTCTCTCGCTCTGAGGAGCCACAGCATTCTCTGTGACTCAGCTCCCCGGCCAAGTCACTATTGTGGTTTCCCCTTCCGGGAACGGGGGTATCAAAGTTCCTGCTCTCCAGGTGTCTCAGGCAGTCTTTTGCTTCACTTTCTCATGGTGCCTCTCATGCAGTGGCTGGCAGCGGAACCTGAGCCCGCTGCTACTCTGGGTTCTGGTCAGCGACCCTCTACACAGCAGCCCAGGTCCATTCCCTGCACCTTGCTACATTTCCCTGAGCTGCTTCCACACCTATGCCCTCCGCACCCCTCTGGGTTTGCCAGTCTCCTCACTCCTTCATTCCAGGGAGTAACTTTGGGCAACTCAGCTCTGCAGTCCCCCAAACACACCTCCCTCTTCACAGAGAGTGACCACAGACTGCTTCCTTGCAGTCCCCTCTTCTTCCAGTTTTCTTGTCTTTCGTAGAAACCCTGCCTGTCCCTCGCAGTTGAACTTCTCTCTAACTAGCTGCCTCCAGACTAAAGCTCCCCTGTTTGAAGCCTAATTAGCTGATTGGGCCCACCTGGCCTAATTCAGCTCTTGCAGGGCCAGTCACGCTGCGGCAAAAACTATTTCTAAGTTTTCCCAGAAATGTGTTATCCCTTCTACACATCTCTTCCTCCTTGTTTAGAAAGCAAGCTGAACGAACTTCCGATCAGAAATATTTTCTGCTTACCAATGTACTTGAATTAGATATTTAGAAGCATTTCTTGGTATCAGAAGCAATAGAACGTAGCATCTCCTTCACACAAAGGCTTCTTTCTTCATGTAGTATCTAGCATTGGCCTGTTCTAAATCTGAGATATCTAAACTTCTTTTTAAAAAACACCCATGCTGCTGATTCAGACACTTTGTCTCACCACAGTCCAGAGAGCTGACTTCTTTATTTCAAGAGTGAAGCTTGAGTGGTTTATGATCTCCTCTGATATTTTCAAGAGTGATTTCTATACTTATTCACAGGCTTTTTACTGAATATATCATCGTTTAGATATTACATACATCTGTCAGCAAAGATTGTCATTGTTAACTCCTCAGTCCCATTACATGCCTCATTGTCAGAGGTGGGCAGTTTGCCAGGAAACTGTGAGTCCCAGAGCGAGCATGGAAGGTTAGGGATAAAGTATACTAGTGCCAAAGAAACTCTATTCCAAGTGGATCTATGTGGAACAACAATGATATCCAATAACTAGTTAAGTTAGCCACAGATGTGTTTTTCCTAGCACTATTCAAGAAGACATACGGTATCTTAGGGCTTGGTTCAGACATAATGATGTTCTAAACTAAAGTAAAATCAGATTCAAGCAAAATTGCATTTGTACTAGAGAAGCCTTTAAGGACTTGCGTAATGTGATTCAGATGAGTAGATGAATCAGACGGCTACACATTTTGCAAGAAGAACATCTATGAGAGATGAGGTAAGGCTGCTGGCATTGAAGGATGGTAGTTTGAGCTTGACATTTTGCTGTTTAAATTTTAGCTTCAGTAGATTGACACACAGTTAAACTGGCATGTTATGTAGGCTGCCATAAGTCTAAAGAAGAATCTCAGGATCTTCTGAAACTAGAAGCTTCATGGAATTGGTGTCTATTTGTTTTTGCACTTACCGTTGTCATTGTTTATGGTATCCTTCTCCCCATTACATTACCTTAACAAAGAAGTGTTTCTGAATTAGCCTCAGAGAAGGCTAATTATGTTGGCATCCTGCTGAGGGCAGTGTGCTTGGACCCAGACAAAACCTTACTGGGTCCAGAGTGCAGCCGAATGCTTGGGTACTATTACTTACCCTTTCTCAGACATTTCTAAGCAAGTTTTTTTTTCTTGGCATGATATCTCTAGCAATACTTGGAATTTCTGGCCAACATCAGCCTTGTTGACGACAAGCTGAGATTCCTCCCTACAGTGGAATCCTTGGCTTTGCTGTTTCTAACTCTGATTTTTAGTTCTCAGATGAGACCAACCCTGCCTAGAAATCAGGAGGAATGACAGATCAGTTACATGGTGGAAATTATGTGGGAAATTTAACTGGATTAGTTAATGTAATAGCTGAAGCAGAATGCAGTTTCTTTTGTTTTCTGACCTATTTCTTTATCTTGGGTTTGTTTGTTTTTCGTTTGTTGTTTGTTTTGGATTAAATGAATGCAGTGCATTGAAATCAAAGTATCAGAACAATATATAGGACAGATTCTCACTGCAGCAAGATTTTGATGACAATAAAAACTGGAAAATAACACTGTTACAAATAATGTAAAAACTTCCCCTATGCTCTTCAGGGTGGGAATGTATTTTACTGTGTGTTTTGTGGTGTTATATTAAGTGATTAATAATAGTATTGGTCAGATTTTGGTGAGAGATCATTTTAAATTTTCCTTGAGTTTTCAGATTCATTCAAAACAGGGCTCAAATAGTAAATGTTTATCCAGGAAACTGCTAATCTCATTCCCTCTCTTCTTGCCTCTCTGTCATATTTTATTTTAATCAGGCAAACTTCATCATTTCTCCCCATCCAGTTTCCTCTTGTATGTGAGCCTGGGTTCAAGAGATCTTGCATTCCTGTGTTTAGGAATTTTTACAGGACTTGTACCAGGGTGTGTGTATGTTTATACACACACTAATTTTGAGAATAACCATGAAAAATCATGGCTTTGTTGGAAGCATACTGACAGGTAAAACTGATCTGTGCATTCATTTTTCAGGTAAGTTCTGATTTTTACATATTTAGGATAGTCTGGTATGTTAGATCATGTCACTTGATAATAAGAGAAATAAGTTTACTCCCAAATAATTTTATTCCAGAAATGCTTATCCCTATGGATTTATTTCCTCTCTTCTTTACAGGGTCTTTGTGAACAGAAGTTTAGCAATGGAAAAGATAAAGTGCTTTGGTTTTGATATGGATTACACACTTGCTGGTGAGTTCCTTCTTGATTTTTATAACTGATTCTGATCAGTGCTTTGTCTCTCACTTGTAAAGAGAAAAATAGAAATTGGTTGCTGTCACTCTAGCTAGGAGATGCTTACTCAGTAAGCTGAAGTGCTACCTATTCAGAGGATTTTGACTTTAGATGTTTCAATTAGATTAACTATCTTGAAACCATATTTGGTCCCAAAATATGTTGCCCTAGTGCAATTTCAAATGATCTGGGGTCTCAGAAAGAGCAAAGCTTACACTGGATGTAATTGGTGTCTTAGATCAGTGGTTCTCAACCAGGGATACGCATACCCCTGGGAGTATGCAGAAGTCTTCCATGGGGTACATCAGCTCATCTAGATATTTTCCTAGTTTTACAACAGGCTGCATAAAAAGCACTAGCGAAGTCGGTACAAACTAAAATTTCATACATACCATGGCTTGTTTATACTGCTTTATATATTATACACTGAAATGTAAGTACAATATTTATATTTAAATTGATTTATAATTATATGGTAAAAATGAGAAAGTAAGCAATTGTTCAGTAACAGTGTGCTGTGACACTTTTGTATTTTTATGTCTGATTTTGTAAGCAAGTAGTTTTTAAGTGAGGTGAAACTTGGGGTATGCAAGACAAATCAGACTCCTGAAAGGTGTACAGTATTCTGGAAAGGTTGAGAGCCATTGTCCTAGCTGCCTATTTGCTTAAAATTACACCATGATGTGAACCTGGCTGTAAGTGGTAAGATGATTTTGATTTTTATGCTGTGAGGATGAAAAGACTGTACATTCATCCAGCATGGCGGGAGACTATGCCTGTGAGAACCACCATCGAAGGGATCTTAATTCAATTGTGACTAAGCTTCCTTATCTCCCACTCCTCAATTGGCTGAGCCTATGTAATAAAGGTCAAAGGATAGGGAATATTTTCTGTTTCTGTTGAACTTGTACATCTCTGTACAGATGTACATTGTGCAGGGGCTATAAATGACCTTTTAGCTTTTAACATTTTTTTCATGTTTTACTTCTCCATCGCCCAAGTACAAGGAATGCTCTGAAAGTTAAGGTGGAGGATGGGAAATAAAACTGTTTGTTAAATACATATACAATATATTCTCTGCATGTTATGCAAGATAAAGATAAAATGCTCATTGCTCATTTCCCAGGTTTGTATTGCAGTCTATATATTGTAATAATAGGCACTGCACAAATTTCTATCCTCCCTTCCTACCACATCAGTGTCATTGATATAAGGTATATGATAGTTTTTCTACTACACTGGGTATTTTAATTTATAATTGCGATCTATACTCCTGTTCAAGATGAGAAATGGAAGCTAAAATGTCAAGGTTGGTTGATAAATGGGTCAGTGCGGGGGTCAGGTCTGGTAATTTAGTTATTCGAGTGATTGCACATGTCCATTCCATTTCAGGTGTGAGCATGCCTAGTGCACAGCTGTGGGAGATTTTTCCCTGAGTGGTACCTGTCAGGGTGGCACATGCCCCCTCTGCTGCCTTGCGCCATAGCTTGAAGGTATGAAGGGCAGAGCCGACCCTTGCCCTCCCTCAGTTCCTTCTTACTGCCTGTGATGGTGGCTGGAACATGTGATCTAGCTATTGAAATATTTCTCTCCCCTCCCCCCCATATTTGTAGATAGTTGGTACTTGTTTCAGAAGTTTTAATGCCTTAGACTGTTTGTTAGTTATAGAAATAAATTTATTTTAAAGTGTTTTTAAACACTTCAGTTCCTGTTGCTGGGTACTTGTGATGGGGAATGCCTTGGTCTCTGGGTTTCAATCCCTGCTATTCCTGCAAGAAGCCAGTGTCAGTGAGTGACCTGCACTCCACCTGCCTGAAGTGTCGCAGGGAGACTCATGTCAGGTATTGGTGTCAAATTTTCAATAACTTTAAGCCAAGAACCAAGAAAGGAAGGCTGGGCTTAAGTTTCTTCTGCTGGAGATGGTCCTGCATTTCCCCTTGGAGACTTTCCACTCAGAGAAGGTACTGAGCACATCAGTGTCCATCAGAAGTGCTCCTCTGGTTTTTGACTGATCCTCAGGGCTGGTCACCCTCCCCGCTACAGAGGAAGAGGCACTGAAAGATGGCATCTAAGGGATTAGTTCCAATAGATCAAGATCCAGCAAGAATGTGGACCAGGATACAAGAGTGTGCATGAATCATAGACTATCAGGATTGGAAGGGACCTCAGGAGGTCATCTAGTCCAACCCCCTGCTCAAAGCAGGACCAATCCCCAGACAGATTTTTGCCCCAAGTTGCCCCCTCAAGGATTGAACTCACAACCCTGGGTTTAGCAGGCCAATGCTCAAACCACTGAGCTATCCCTCCCCCAAGGGCTGAGGAAGTCTCTGAGGCAATCATCTGCTCAGGAGGGACCGTCGACTCTGGCATCAGCACTGGCATCACTGAGACCAGCCCCTGAAGTGGCTCCATTTAGTTAACGGTACAGGAGACTATCCTAGTACCATCTACTCTGGAGGCTTATGCTGCAGCACAGGATCTGTGAGTCGTACTCATAGCTCCAGCATGGCCTCAGCAACATTGATTTTCCACTTTGCTGATCCTCTCATACACAGTTCCATTGCCACTACCATGGGATGCAGACCTGATCTCTCAGGACCACGGTCGCCCTCCGACCCCAACCTGAGGCTCTCCTCCTGACTGCTTGGGTGCTCCATGGCTAAGGCTTCATGAAGTTTGTTCAAAGGGGGTTCCAGATGCACTTGTAAATAGTAGAATGCCTTCTATTCGGTTTACATACCTGGCAAAGTGGGAGTCTCCATTTTGTCCCAGCAAAAAAGTGTCGTCTCGCCCCCCCCCTCCCCCCCATCCACGCTCCAATCCATCGTGTATTGGACTATTTGTTATACCCAAAACAGCGAGGTCTTACCATTAGTTCCATCAAGGTCCATCTAACAGCTATCTCCACTTTCCCACCCGCCAATTGATAATCATTTTTCTCCAATCCTATGCCAGTTAGATTTCTGAAGGATTTGGACCAGTTATACCCCCAAGGACAAGACCCTGGTCTCCCTTGGGCCTTAAATGTGGTGTTAACAAAGCTAGTGGGTCCTCCTCTTGAACCATTGGCTACCTGTTTATTGCTCCATCTTTCCATAAAGACAGACTTTTTGGTTGCAGTTACCTCAGCTAGGAGAGTGGGCGAATTACAAGCACTAGTTTCTGGACCTCTGTATATGGTCTCTTGCAAGGACAGGATATTCCCACGCCCTCATCCGAAGTTTCTCACTAAGGTGATATCTCACGTCCACATCAATCAGGCACTATATTGAAAAACTTTCTTTCCTAATCCTTAGCGTTTCACCTGGACAGGACTAAACCATTTAGGTCATCATCTCCATTGTTCGTAGCGATTGTAGACAGAGTCTCTTCCAGTCTCTCCTCAGAGGATCTCCTTGTGGATCTCCTGTTGTGTTAATTTGTGCTACAACCGGGCTGATGTATTGCCACTGAATAGAGTGCTAGTGCATTTGACCAGATCTCACGCAGTCTCTGTGGCTTTTCTGGCCCAGCTGAGTATTTTGGACATTTGCAAATTGGCAACTTGGTCTTCAGTGTATACGTTTGCTTCCCATTATGCCATCTCTGGGCAAACCAGAGATGATGCCAGATTTGGATGTGTGGTCCTTCAGTCATTATTCAGGTAGACGCTGACCTCCAGATTGAACTGCTTGTGAGTCACCTGAAATGGAATAGACGTGCAATCATTTGAAGAATTAAAAATGGTGACTATCCTGTTCTGTAACTGTTGTTCTTCGAGATGTGTTGCACTTGTCCATTTCATGACCCACTCTCCATCCCCTCTCTATCAGAGTCTTCCATTAAGAAAGAACTTATGGGGGATGAAAGTGGCTCTGCCCTTTATACCTTTGTGTTGTGGTGTGAGACAGGCGAGTGTGCATATGCCGCCCCTACAGGTATAGCTCAGGTTAAATCTGACAACTGTGCACTGAGCGCACAGACACCTGAAATGGAATGGACACGTGCCACACATCTCAAAGAACATTAGTTACAGAGCAGGTTGATAACCATTTTTTACTGTATTAGTAGATGAGTAGTGTGGCAAGGAAAGCCTCAGGGACAGCACTGAAGATCAGAGAAGCCAAGGGCCAAATTGAGGTCAGGAAAGCCTCCAGAGGCTCCTGGATAATCTATGTTGGGTCTGGCCATAATCCTTGAGTGTCCCATGCTTAAGGTGATCATAATTCCAAAATAAAAAAATGTGGCAATGTTTTTTAGAATTGCAAAATAGTCATTCAAAAAACAAAAGTACAGTTTTTTTACAAAAAGTTTGTGGGTGCCACTTTTGCCAATTTTGTCTCAATAGGGACAGATAGATATTTCTCAGCATGGAGGATTTTTCCAGCAACTCAGATGTTCTGAATGAGGTTAGTATGAAACACTGAATGAGTGTTATTAGCATTTATGGTGAACAAAAAGAACAGTTTTGATAGTGTCTATGCTCCTTCCACTGATCACTCTAAACACTGTTTATCCCACAGAACATTCATTCCACTGGGCTGTTCCTGGTAACTGCAGAGCAAATTCTACTTGGCACAGCAGAATGACTTGAATGAACGTGTAGTTATTTTAAAAAAAAGTTTTGATTGATGAAATGAAAAATATGAACATTTTAAATGTCCTCAAAGAATTTTCTGGGACATGATATGAAAAACTGAGAGTAGCCTAGCAAAACCAGGATATAAGGACACTTTCAGCATGCTATGTCTAGTGCAGCTGGAATGGATGTGATGGAAAACAGAGAAGTATGGTCTGAGCAGAGGACTGGGAGCCAGAGACATTTTTGTTTCAACTTTGACACTGATCATGGCTCCCTCTGTGGCTTTAGGCAAGTCACTCTGCTGCATTTTCTCCAACTGTACAAAGTGAATAATAATCCTTACTGATCTCCCTTATATGGGTGTTGTGAGAATCTGATTAAGGTTTGTAAACCACTTTGATGATGAAAAGTGCTATGAATGGCAATTTCTAAGTAATATTTTCTTCCTCTTTCCTTAACTCAGGCAGACAAACTAATATCATCCATTCATCTTTTTGTATTTCAGCATCATCCTTTGTTCCCCACATGGGTAAACATTATTTGACTATAACTTGCAATAAATAGTGAAATCCACTATTCAGCTTATGGCACATAAGTAGACTTAGTTATTTATTTGCAGCAGAAGCTTTAAATGATGCATTCGTTGTTAACTGATGTTGTATTTTTCGGGGGGTTATATTAACATATTGTTGTGCATAGCCTAGGAGCTAATGTATTCCGGCTAAGAAAAGTTAGCCACTTGCATAAATCCATGCCCCTTCACATGGACTTGGAAGCAATCACCAGCTTCTGCTTTGTGTCTAGAGAGAAAGAATGTACAAAGTTGGTTTTTAGTTGAGATTCAGCATCAGTAAATGACATCTTCCTGCCAGTACGCTGGCTCGTGACCAGAATCCCAATTGGTGCATCTTCAAAAGCTGTAAAGGGAAAGAAATTGACCAAAGTGAAGGAGAAGGGTGTGGCACCTTGTAGTCCATCAGCCACTCTCTAGTCTTCTGTCTCTGCAGTTCCAGAAGAGACCACAGGCCTTGTTAAGCTACCTTTTATAATTAAAGTTGCTTACAAAAATCCCAAACACCCTCATCAGTGTGTTAGATGACACTAAGGCACTGAAAGCTTATACTCGTGCTCAAACCTTGATTTTGGAAGGTGTACCGATTGCAGAATCCTTTTTCCATTCTGTATCCTTGAGGACCATGATGTCAGAAGTAAATTGGTGACATTCATTCATGGTTGGCAATCATTGCCTTTGTTAGCTGAGAACTCAGGATTGTTCAGCCAGAGAACAGAATTCTATTTTTAGAACACCTCCAAATTGTCCATCTTGTGAAGGGGAGGAGGCAGTATTAGCAGCAGAAAGAACTCTACACACCATTTTCTTCTTTCCTTCTCCAACAGCAATGGCTTTGAGCCTGTGCCACCAAAGTGAGGAAAGAGGGCTTTAGGCAAGATGCTTCTTAGTACCAAAAAAGGTCAGGAGAGCTTAACCCATCTTGAACTTAGTTATTTAAACAGCTTTGCCATCAAGTTCAAAATAGCGTGTCTGTGGCCAGCTCCTTTACTCCAACTATGAATGTCAAGAACATGTACCTATGCACAGTGTACAGTTTAATGATTGGGATACAGCTCATTTTACTGGGAACACAGCACTTCCATTTCAATTTGTAGTAGCTGTTGCAATATACTTACACTGCAGAGAGCATGTAAAAAGCAACAGAGAGTCCTGTGGCACCTTTAAGACTAACCGATGTAGAGCGCATGTGTTCCCTAACCAAGAAGATTGCCTTATCAGTAACAACACTTGAGAGATGACTGTGATTGACACATATTTGTCACCAATAGTCATGGTATCATCGTGCCACATTATACTAAAATATGATTCCACCCAGTGTGTCCTCTAAGGGGCTGCATGGGCAATAACATCTTCCTTCCTTCAGGCAAGATGCCTGATGATTTCAGCCTTCACCACAGAGAAAAAAATGGTGCTGTCGTACATGAACTGTATATTTGCTTTCCCTTCTCTTCTCAAAAATGTGAGGTCGCTGTGTTTATGGCGAGAGTTAATTTGCCTGCCAGGAGTGTAAATCAAAACAAAATAACTGTTGATGCACTTATACTCTCTTTCTTGCCCACTGAGGCTCACTGTAGTACCCTCACATGCTAAGATGGAGGGTTCCCACATTTCTGGAAACTCAGAGAATCTTGCTAAGTTCATAAGTGTGCGACATGGAGTATCCAGGAGCACATTATCTGTGTAGTATTCTAACTTTACAAGTTATTTATATACACTTCCTTTCACTGCATTAGTTTTTGCTTGTATTGATGAACTGCATAATAATATGCAGCAGGCGGCTTTATTCAGGCTAGAGAGATAGTGTTTGGAATGAATTCCTAAGCTTCAGGGACAATAGTGTGTGTTTTATTGTGGCTTGTGTGTATAACATGGGGTTCAAGTATCAATTTTTGGAAGTCTTGATGGATTTGGGCCAAGCATGAGCTATGGGTAATTTCAGTGGTTACTTCTAGAGAAGATTAACAGAAGTCCATGTGATCAGTTATGTAATCAGCCCCACAGAAATCACTAGTTTTTCCTTCTGACCTTTCTGAATCTCAGTAGGGAGCCTAGGGCACTGTTTCTGAATTCTGCAATAGAAACTATTATATTTGCTTCCTTCCTAACAAAGAGATAACATTACACAAGCGTCAGGATCTAGTATCTCCAAATAGACTTGAAGGGCAGCCATTCAATGAGAGCACATGGTGCAAAAACTAGTAATTTTGCAAGATCTTTATGTTTAAATCCTTAAATTAGGGAGATTTGAGGATTTATGTTTGTAGCACCTTTTTGTTTTGTAAATTACAGTTTCTTTTATCCATCTTAATGATTCATTTTTGCTTATCCAATCCAGCTCTAATAGAAGAACACTAATAAGTAGTAATGTTACTCTATTCCTGCCTTCCTTCCTGTTTGTTTAGTAGTGTCAAAACAATCTCTACCCTTTCTCTACCGTGGCTTCTAAAAATCAGACCTGTCCTATGAAAGAGCAGCTGCAAATAGATTGACAGACTTTCATTAGCATGGCATTTAAATGAGCCTAAATAGTACAGTGAAGGGCACTTAGAAATGTGAGAAAGAGATCAAATTTAAGACAGGCAGAACTTTTCTTGGCTGTTTTCTTCTCAAGGTGAGCTAAACATTTGAGCAATGTTGTCAGATCTGGATCCAAGTAATCCAGGAGGCTTTGGCATCCCTAGGTCTTAAACAGGGCAAGTTGCATGATAAGGTTACAGAAAAGTGTCCCTTGATAGAACTTTAGGTAAACAAGTAAGGTTTTAAACAGACTGTAATTTCATACCAAGTCACTGACAGATGGAGAGGGAATTAGTAAAGACCAGTTACTCAGTCATTAACCTTTCTCTACAATAGTTAGTCTTGTTGAAAGTTTTATCATACCTGTGAGAGAAATTATACAGTAGCCAAGATGGTTTCATTCGGGAAAACCGTCCCTGTACTTAAGTCACTTCTGCCTCTATATTGAGTGGGAATTGATAAGAAAGTCGTCATCAATAGTGAAACTGGTTTCAGTGAGAAAATGAATGGTAAATGAGACATTTAAATCATTATTTGTGCAGTACGCTGAAATGAATTAATACTGTACTACCGTGATGGAATTAAGATTGTGTCCCAGAAGCATTACAAGCTTAAAAGTAAATGCTAAGATTTGTTATATTGCAGAGTAGTTACAGAGAGGTTCTCACACAGTAAGTTGTTAGGTATATCAACACTTCCATTCTCATAGCATCACAGATGTTAGAGATGGAAAAGACTTCTTCGGTTGTTGTGAGAAGTTGCCTTTCCCAACCTGCTCTAAAACACAATTATGTGTAGAGTCAGTAGTCACCCCTTTCCTAGGCTTAAGCTTTATTAACAAAGAATTTAAAATTAATGAAGTCCTTCATCAGGACTGTTTAACTTACAGATCTAGGCCTTGGCTACACTGGCAATTCACAGCGCTGCACTTGCTGCGCTCAGGGGTGTGAAAAAACACACACACACCCCCGAGCGCAGCGAGTGCAGCGCTGTAAAGCGCCAGTGTAATCAGCGCCTGCAGCGCTGCACGCTCGCTCCCAGCGCTGCAAGTTATTCCCCTCGGAGAGGTGGAGTACTTGCAGTGCTGCGAGAGAGCTCTCGCAGCGCTGGCGGCGCAACTACACTTGCACTTCACAGCGCTGCCGAGGCAGCGGGGAGGATGTCTCTGGCCAGGCTGGAGCTGCTCCGGCAGGCCGGGCGGTGCGGACGCAGCACGTTTCAGCAGGCTGGGCCGGGCGGCGTGGCCACAGTGTGCTCTGGGGGGCGGGGGCGGGCGTCATGGCCGCAGCGTGCTCTGGGGGGCGGGGGCGGACGTCACAGCCGCAGCGTGTTCTGGGGGCGGGGCCGGGTCACGACTGCAGCCTGCCAGCCCCGGAGCTGCAGCTGCTTCAGAGGCTGGGGGAGAGTAGTGTGGCCAGAAGTGGAGAGACTCTGGCCCCGCCTCTTCCCTTCTGGCTGTGCTGCCTGTCCTTGCTCCCTCTGTTGGGGGGAGGGGCTGTGTCCCACCTCTCCCTCTCTATACCTATTCATAAGCCGACCCCCTTCTCTGGTGCTACCCTTTATTACTAAAAAAAATTCGGCTTATGAATGAGTATATACGGTATGTAAATACCCATAATAAAGATTTTTTACATGCAAGGGAACCACTTCTAGAGAGAAACTCCACTAACAGTATACCATAAAAGGTCCCAATCTGTTTGTAAGGGCCACCAGATAAAACCTTCAAAAGCACCTAAGTAATGTAAGAGCCCAAGAATGTTGACTCTTAATGGGACTTTGGCTCCGAAGTCACTTAAGCACTTTTGAAAATCCTGCCCTCAGTCAATTTGAAATCTGTTCATTTTAAAATGAATTAAAAGTAATTTTAAGTCCTACACCTGCCCCAGATTCCCCTTCAATTTTTTGTGGTTTTACAATCACATCTTATATTTTAAATGTTTTTCTCTCCCATGCTGGCTATGTCAAAGACCCATACAAATGAAGAAACTGGTTCATTATACAGTGTGGTCCAGTGAATATGGTACTGGATTGGGACTTAGGACACTATGTTATATTCCTGGCTCTGCCGCCGGCCTAGATGCTTAACCGTAGCCAAGTCACACCACCACTCTGTGCTGCAGTTTCCCCATGTATAAAATGGGACTGACGATACTTGCTTCTTTGGTAAAGTGCTTTGAGATCTACAGAGGAAAAGTGATAGACAAGAGCTGCATGGAGTTGCTATTACATAGGGAAGACAGTGAACTGACTAGTTACAATGTGCTGCTGAGTACGCATACTAAACAAAAGAGTTACAGACACATATTTTTTCCTCTAATCTTTTCCAAATGTAGTAATTGTAGGTGGTGTGTGTAACAATCAGAAGTAAAAATATTCAGACAAAAGTGTGATATTTAGGTTGATGGTTTCCCTTGAGTTCATCATGATGTAACAATTGAAAATAGCAAAGTTGTTTGGTGGTGGTGTTCAGTTCCTTTTCTTAATAATGGCTATTGGTTTTTGTACCCAGCTCTCTACAGGTTTATACAACTTCATTTCAGGATTGTGCTACCTGGATTTTTTTCAGAGATTATATAATTATAATTATTAATATTGGAAAAGAAACGGGGGCTGCTAGGGAGACTGACTGATACATTTGAAACTAATCTGGCAAAAGTGCTCCCAAAATTGCATCTGCAAAATCAGATGAATATTTGTTGTGTGCATGTAATCAGGTAATTGCACGTCTGCTACCTGTTTGTGTATTCACACTGGTGCACGTGCAGCTTGGCAGGCACAGGTTTTGAGGCTATTTTTAATAATTTAGCAATTAGTGATTTAAAACTAGAAGCAGTTCAAAGCCCAGATGTTTCTAGTCTACTTTGGGATGGTTGGTTGGTTGAATACAGGCAACATTACAATAGCCATTTTGTCAGTGTTGTTTCCATTGCTGCTTTTAAGAGTTGACTGCTTAAAGTTGCGTAAAACTGCACACTGAGCTTTGAAGCTGTGGATTGTAATGTGTTGGCACTGAGAATGGGGCATGGGAAAAGCACATGTTGCTTGTCATGGTGTCCAAATAAATCACCAACTGACGAAGTGCTAATCTGCAAGGTGTCATTTCTTCAAGAATCAGAGTGTTAGACTGAAGCTGTTGAAAGGGTAGCACTTCACTAAGTATAAGACGTGGTTAAAAAGTTGCAGTATTTTGGTCTTTGTTCTGACAGTCTCGATATAGCTGAATACCTACATTGATCAGCAGCTTCTCAATATCCAAATAGTTAGGATTTTATTCTTGCTGGACTAGTAGAAATTATGATGATAATACTTTCCACTTGTAATAGAGCCTTTTATCCAGGGATCTTAAAGCACTTTACAAGCGTTAATTATGCTTCAAACACACTGTGGTGTAGGGAGCGTATTGTCATTTGTAAAATGGAGAAGCCTGAGGTGCAAGTATACTGAAGGCTTGACTTTCACAACTGTACACGCACAATTTCCCTGATTATGCTTTGTAAATCACTTATTTTAGCAGACAGTTGACCCGTTATATATGTAACTGCTTATCAACATGTGCAAACTTCTGATTTATATGTGCAATTGTGCTGATTGTACACACACAAAGGCATGTGTTTGCGCACATGCAGTTGTGAAAATCAAGCTCTAAGTTAGTTGCCCCACATCAAATGATGAATCTGACTGAGCCAGGCGTAGAACTTAGAACTCCTAGTTTACTTTCCTGTACATTATCAACTAAACATTTGTTTCCTTCCAATTTAAAATCTGTGTCCAGAGACAGATTGAGCAATACTTCAAGGGGGCGGAGGAACGGTGGGGAAAATAACAAATTGGAACTGTTCAGGTGCTAATGCATGTGAATGGTACCGTAGGGTATTGGATTTAGAAGACAGTTACATCTTAAATTGTTTTCCTTGCTATTTTTGGATATTATTGAGTTGCATTTGAACATGAGCCTTCTGTGCAACCATTTCTTCCCCCTGCTTAACTCCTTATTGAAGAGCTAACCCATACTTTAGTAGGGTGGTTTGTTTCCATGGATACGCTGTGAGGTTTCCAGTTTGGGAGTATGATTCTCAGTAGGCTGCAGCTGGGTAGGGTGGTTTGTAAGCAAGGTCTGCAGTTAAACACAAAACATTTCCATGATGTTGGAATAAACACAAACACTCATAAAAGCCAAGGTGAATATTCATTCGATTCTTTGAAAGTGATAAAAATTATTCCAGTTCTAAGAAATGCTCCTCAGACTGTTAAAATGACCAGTTAAAAGGAAGATTCACTAGAAATGCAGAGGTGCCACAGAGTAGCAGCCACTAAGGAGTGGCTTTTGCCCATATGGAAATCTGTACATAGTTAGACTTTACTATTACTGGTGTAAGCTCAAGCCTGGCATTTTTATTCAGGAGAAGAAATCGTTCCACCTTAAAGTGCTGAGTCTGTTACCAAGTTCTGACTCTGCGAGACATAGCCAGGAAGCCCAAACCTTTATCAGGCCTAAAGCAAACAAAACTCAGTGACATTAGGTCCTTTGATAGGACCATTACCAAAATTACTTTAATAGATTCATTGATTCAAAGGCCAGAAGGGGCCATTGTGATCTTATAGTCTGACTAACCTGTATATCACAGGCCATAGAATTTCCCTGCAATAATTGGGGAAGGTGTGTCGGGACAATAACACTTTGCCAAGAGCATTGTTTTGTTGGGGTTTTGTTAAGTAGAAATGCACAGCACTCAAACAAAATAGACATGGAATAATACAAAGCCCTGCTGTGTATATGATACCACATTGCTTCTTAATGAATAGGGAGGGTTGGTACAAGATTTGCCTGTTCTTGCATAGCAAAGAGGCATGTATGTGGGTATTAGATTCAGCGGAAGGCCTGTTTGTTAATGGATAAAAATGTATACTCCCTAGAGGAAAATAAAGGTACATAGTAAGCAGTAAAGTGAATTATACTTAACAGACCTTTTGTCACTTATTGACTGACGGCAGTGTGCGAAAAGGTTTCCTCCCTGTTAAAGAAAGACAATGATGATAAATAACGCTGCAGTTTCTTCTCATTTGGGAATGAAAATACAGGGAGTTAAAGAAAAAAACAAAACAAAACATGATTTCATTACTCATTTGAAGATGTTTAGGACTCTGAGAAATAAGGATTATTATGGTCTTGTGGTTAAGATGGAAAACTAAGAGTCAAGAGAACAGGGTTCTATCCCTGGCTTTTCCTCAGACTCCCTGTGTGACCTTGGACAAATCACTTAGGCCCTGATTCAGTGGGGTCCTTAAACATGTGCCTAATTTTAATAAATTAGATTGAAGCATGTGCTTAGGGTTAAGCAGGTTCAGCTATTATGCTTTGCTGAATAGGTATGTACATAAACACATGGGTAAGTGCTTTGCTGAATTGTGGCCTTAAATGAGAGCAGCCTGATTTTCAAAGGTTCTGAGCGTCCACTGCTTCAGCAGGATTTTTGGGTGCTCAGCCCCTCTGAAAATCAGGCCCATTTTTAGGTGCCTAAATATGGATTAGGCTGCAAGTGAGTTTATATTGATATTCTTCACTGAAGCCCCGCACTTGCAAACACACAAGCCATTTCCTCTGCTCATTTTTAATTTATTATTATTATTGTTGTTGTTTTATTTTATTTGCTGCTGGTTTCTCTTCAGTTGATATTTTAGTGATTTATTCAAGTTAAAGCCCAGATCCTTGCATTAATGCTTCCACACAAGAGCTCTTCTCCCTTCCGCAGTCACCTGTTGCAGAGTCTCGGCCTGTTGGGCTACATATTTCAAGCATATCTTAATGTGCAGTCAGAAGGCCAATTCTGCCCTCTAGCCCCATTGACTTCAGCAGGAGGTACACCTGGGCCAAGCATGTTTAGAAAACTTGTCTCACACGCAGAACCGGCACCCTTTCTCACACTCCCACAGCCTGAATTGAATGTCATGCATTCAGCTGAGTTCTAGGAAGCAGGAGTGCTTGAGCTGCAGGTGATACTCCTGGTGGGGGCTGCTGTGGCACCCGCTGAGTAAGCAGCCTGGGACCTCTCTGCCTCTTCCCCGGCTGCTCTCGACTTCCCTGCCAGCATGGAGCACTGGGGACGAGTGAACAAAGTTTAATGCCACAACATAGTAACCGCGCCTCATCATTCAACTCCAGTAGCCCCATGCTCTTTTCTTCATAGCCGTTCAGCAATTGCACTATCCTCAGGCTCCCACGCTTACTCCTGAGTTCACTCAGAGATGCCTTTGGCTGCCCATAAGCCATACACTCCTTTTCTGAGGGTGTGAGGAATAAGGACCTTCTTCCTTGCAGCTGTTCCCACTGCTCCAGAGAACCCTGTATGGGAAATCAAGGACTTATCGTCACTGCTGTTAGTACAACACCTTTCACCAGCACTAAACCCACAGAATCGTTTTAAAACAGAACTTTATGGTTATACACACATTGTTTACAAGTATGCAAATTAATTCAGTAAATAATTTTCAGAATATGGCACACATGGAGTGGCACAAAACGTGGAGGTTATGCACAGGCAAGGGAGAAAGCATTTTTTCCCTGTTCTCACATGATCTTCTCTGACCAACCCATGAGGAGTGTTGGCAGACTCTGGCAGAAGCCATGTCACACCTTCAATGAAAGAATACCTTGGTCTCAACATGGAACCTCTGAGAGTGCAACAGGGGGAATAAAGAAGGAAATGTGCAGGTCTTGAAGAGCTTTCTCCTCCTCCCCCAAACCAAATCCAGTCACACCCCAAACTTTCTTAACCACGCAAAATGGTTATTTAAAGATTATTTTAAAAAAGCATTATTGGTAATGGTATGTACTTTACTGCTCTGTCAGGCCCTCTTTGAAACCTATTCAAAAGCATTCAGCTTAGTGTTTAGTTTGAATTTCTTTAAAAGTTATTTCTCATTCTTTTGTGCATATTTATAAGTTGCAGAATAGTTCTCATTCTCTTTACCATCTGTGCTTGTTAACCAGTACTGTACAATGCCATGTAAGGTTGCATGGCACCTTTCATGAACAAAAAGCTTTGCACAGAAAAGCCCAAACTTGCTAGATAAGTCTAGGTGTAAAGAATAAGGTTTAAGTTTTGATGTACAGGAGTCAGACTGACTCTGTATTTTAGGTTCTTGATGGGAGGAGATTCCAGATTTAGGGCAAAATTCTGTTCTCAGATCCACACAGTGGCTCTTGACATATATTCTTCCCTGATGACATGTAGATGTGTGGTGGGTGTGAAGGGAATGGAATATCTTGAAAGGAAGGAGATGGCATTAGGCTACATAGTAACCTGCCACCGGATCAGGTATGGTCACTAATGACAGAACCCTAAACACATTATGAAGGCTGTTCCTGAGTAGATTATACTTACTTCTGATAGAAACTTGAGGGATCTGTCTCTCAAACACTTTGGCAACACTTGGGTAGCTTATCATGCCAACAAAATATTGCTGAATTGATCTGAGACTGGTTTGTGAAGTTAAGGCCAGAATTTTGCCTATAGAATGTACAACTACTAACCGTGCCTCCTCTGTAAATCAGTTTTGAGCGGTATTGTGGAATAGCCAGCAGACTACCTTTCGAGCTCTTCGGCGGCAGCAACTCCAGCAAACACGCAAGTCCCAAATGGTGCGGCGCTGTCGCGGTTTTAAAAACAGTTTGATTTTTTTTTTTAACAGGGGAGCCCAGTGTAACTCCTTCAAGACTGGAGTGACACTCTGCATCTGCATCTGCCTCATGTGAGTTACAATCCTGGCAGCAGCATTTTGCACAAGCTGGAGCCTCTGTAGAGATTTTTTTTTTTTCTTTTTCAGGAAGGCTATAAAATTGCTACCGTATGTGTCTTGGCAGCAAAGGTAAAAAAAACCCAAAATACCCCAACCACCCAAAATCCACAATAAAGTGCATGAGAATTCCATACCTTACTGTACAACTCCTGCTCATTCCAACACATTCTAACACATACCGTGGAAGTCATCACGGACTTAGAGCCTGCAACATTCACTTCTGTGGTACTGCTTTTTAACTCTCCACAATGTAATTTCATGGGCAAATTATGATGTTAAGGGGAAGCTGTAAGTGCTGTCAGCTCGCTTCTGTTTTCAAAGTTCTGGTTGTTCTTTTCGCAAACATAACCCCAGAACACTATGTACTGACTGCCCTGAGCTGCTGAAGCATTTGTCTGTTGCAGAACACAGACCTTCAAAATAACTTGTCCTTTTGTCATTTGGGACTGACATGTTTGTGGAGGGATGGGGGTCAACTAAAAAAAAAAAATAGAAAAAGTTAGTAATATGTGCTTATATTTGTTGTAACTATGTCATAAGTAGGGCTAAGAGACCAACAAAAACATACTGAAGATTGAATGGTTGTGTTTTTGTGGCTGTGCATATTTCACCTGTCACACACTTGTGGGTGCTTTGAGGCAGGGGCACTGTCAACTGTGTGGGAGCTCACAGTACAATGATTCTGCATGGCAAGCATCTAAATCTTTGACATCCACAGTATCCTACACAAAGTCTATAGCTGTGGTCACCGTGGCTAGGGCTTTGGGGGGTTTCCAGGAAAGTATTTAATTACTTTTTTCTTTTTTAGTCATCCAGCTGTAGATCTCTCCTTACTGCTAAATTCCTGCACAGATGACTGAGCAGAACAAGATATAAAAACACACCAGCCCTGAGTACACTAATATATTGCCACGTTTCCATAGAATCAGTACTATGCCCTAACTTTTAAACAGCCTCTTGGAGGAACCCCTGGAGTGTGGCAAGCCCCAAGGAGACCCACTCTTTAGCTTAAGGGTAGACCTCCCAGCCTCACCGCCTCCTAGGCTGAACCTCTGGGCTCCAGCACTCCTGGCTTCACACCGTGAGCTCTGCCCAGCTAGTCCCATTGAGACAGACTCCTAGTTAGAGACTTATCCACCCTGCAGGGATTAACGCAACTGAGCAAGTATTTGCAGTGACACCAAACACACTTTTCAGAACAGAGTAGGATTTATTAGTCAACTGGAACACAGCATTGGAAGTCCTTAGGTTAGCATAGAGAAATCAAAGTTAAAGCATAGCCCATTCTGGTCAAGTCAGAGCAAACCACCAGCCAAGCTGTAGTGGATTCCATTTTAGGCTCTCTGTCAGTCCCAGGAGAGAGCAGCCAGCTTCCTCCAGTATCCCACACTTTATCCTCTGCTGATCATGTCTCAGTCCTTTGTTCTCGAGCTGGGGTCTCTGCTTAGCTTCCCTGCTGGGGTGAGAGGAGGTGGGGGCTCCTTCCTCTTGGTCATTGTGTGTCAACGTTCTGGTCATTGGGCTTTCTTTGGATTCTGCACTTACGTGGGGTCACTTTCGGCAGGTTTGAGCCAGTTCCTTAATGATCCTATTCGCTGTTGCCCAGACAGCAAGGTGACACCCGAACCTCATGTCCTGTCCTGCCTCTATGAGCAGACTTAACACTTTTCCCTCCACTGGGTAACAATATGAAGTGCAGAGGGAAACTGAGGCACGCAGCAGTTTCATTAAAATATTACAGAAAATTCCCAGTTTGTCACATATGTATGTAGACAGAGATTATATAATGTGGGTGTTTTCCTGTGTTGTGACACTGCAGTTGCAGCATCACAATCCTGTTCACACTGTTTATCTCAAGTAGGTGGATCACTTGCCTGAAGCTCATGTTACTGAAATGAGCATTTGCACAGCTTGTGCGAAAATGTCAGTAGCTTGTAGCTCATACTGATTAATACACTCTGTACCGTGGTGTAGTGTGTTGTCAAAATGAGGTGTGGGCGTGGTGAACTCTGAATCCATTCCCAGTTGTCTAATTAAAGAAAAGTATATCTTGGATAATGACACAGTAACTGGAGAACACTATTTATAGTCCATTTCCATCCTCCAAGAGTCTGATTTCCAGTGTGTCTGTTGATTTCTTACACTAGGAAGAAGACTCTTATTTTCCAGGTGTCTTTAGTGATGACATCCAAACAGAATCTTTGAATGAGCTAGTGGCTTACATTTTAAACAAGGCTGGGTCAAGGAGGCAAGCAAAATCCAAAGTTTATAGGTGAGAATGTGAATTTTAAAAATGTTCAGGGACAGCCTTGTGGTCGTGCCACCTAATCAGAGATCAGGATTTGATTCCTTGTATTGGCATGGCCTGGAATACCATATAGTCCTTTGCCACAACCTTTCTTTTTGACTTTTCAGCTGCTTTCCTAGGCTAGAAGGGAGGTCTTAGTGATGGATGTAGATTGGAGAGGGGAGTGCAGTGCATAAAAAAATGGAATAAGGGTATTTTATGGGTTGCATGATGCACATAGAAAATATGAATCCACTACCCTTTCCCCTGAAAGATTGTTAGAGAAATAAGGGTGTTATTTGAAAGACAGCATTGTATTAGCTGCAGCCACGCTTTCCTCGTGGTGTATCACTGGGATTGATCGTAAATCCTTTCTATTTATCTAAAAGGGATCCCAAAGTACTCTTCAGATTGTACATGTGTATGTAGGGGTCACTACAGCCGTCTCTGGGCTCCAGAAATGACAACTGCTCGTGTCTGAAGTGCTATTCTAGCTGTATCGGTCCCAGGATATTAGAGACACAAAGTTGGTGAGGTGATATCTTTTATTGGACCAAGAGAGACAAGCTTTCGACAAACTGTTCCCATAGCAGCAACATAATGCAACAGGGTTTTTAGAAGAAGGGAATAGTGAAGTTCTGTATAGAGAAAGAAATCACAGTTCCCTTGGGAATTTGGCCAGATTACCAAGGAGAAATTGCACAGCAGGTTAAAAAAATTTATATGGTCTGTGTGAAGAACTAGGAGGGCTCCAGCTTCTTCCAGGTGGGGGTGGGGACAGGGAGGGGCTGAGGTGGGCTAGACAGAAAATGGGGGGAGGCTGCGCTATACATCTTGTGGGCGCACACATTTCTTTTTTAACCATATGCACTTAAATGTCAAGTATCAGAGGGGTAGCCGTGTTAGTCTGAATCTGTAAAAAGCAACAGAGGGTCCTGTGGCACCTTTAAGACTAACAGAAGTATTGGGAGCATAAGCTTTCGTGGGTAAGAACCTCACTCTTGCATCTGAA